TGTGTCACTTTCTCTATCCTCAAATCAAGGAAGTTTTTCATCATGACTTTTTCAAACATGTTCTCTATCCCTTCCTCATCTTCTTCTCCTGGTATCCCTATTATATGGATATTATTACATTTCAGATTGTCCTGCATTTCCCTAAATGCCTCTTCATTCTTTTTTAGTCTTTTTTCATTTTCTTGCTATTTCCGGGAGCTTTCTTCTACCTTGTCCTCCAGCTCACTGGTTCTATCATCTTCTTCAACTAGCTTGATTTAGATTTCTTCTACTGTGTTCTTTAATTCAGAAATTATATTTTTCCTTTCCTCCTGGCTCTTACTGATAGTTTCCATGTCCTTTTTCATGCTGATAGAGTTTGCAGTAAGTTCCTCATAGTTTCCCTGTAGTTTTTGGCAATTCTCTCAGAGCTCACTGAGCTCATTGAACTTCCTTAGAACCATTATTTTGAACTCATTATCAGAGAGTTTACTTGTCTCTGTTCCATGCAGTTTTTTTCTGGGGATTCCTCCTTTCCCTTTAATTGGGGTGGTGTTTCTTGTCTTCCCATTAATTGTGAGATTCTTCTTCTTCTTTTTCTTCTTCTCCTCCTCCTCCTCCTTCTCCTCCTCCTCCTCCTCCTCCTCCTCCTTCTTCTTCTTCTTCCTTTTTGCTTCTGCTTCTTAAATTGATCTGTCTTGAGTCCCTGACTTTGTGGTGTGAACTTCTATGGTAGGAGACTGTTTCATTTTTTTTCTTTCTGGGTCTGCCTCTGATGATGTCAGCTGTTGACCCTGTCTGACCTTAGGCAGTCTGTTGAAGACCCAAAGGAATCTATTGTCTGTGGCTGTCTCCTTCTGTTGTTAATATAGTTACTCTGCACTCAGCAGCCCAGCTTAGGCATCACAGGGCAGGAAAGAGTCCCTCCTGAGGACAAGGCTATTGGGTCCTCTCACACTGCTGCTACTCTGGGGAGTGGTCTGCATGAGCCAGATGGCTGCTGCTGTATGGGGGAGGAATCAGCACTGGGATCCCGCTGGCTACTCTCTCCATTCTCTCCCCAAAGCCCCCATCTCTAGTCCCTCCTCAAGCACTTCTAGAACACTCTGCACCCCCCTTTTCCAGAGATCTACTATCTGTGAATGCCATTCTGCACTTAGCAGTGGGGCTTAGGCACCACTAGGCCAGGGCAGAGTCCCTCCTGGGAGCAGGGCTATTGTGTCCTCTTATCTGATGTCACTCAGGGCAGTGGTCTTCCTGAGCAAGATGGATGCTGCCATATAGGGGAGGAGTCAGCACTGGGATCCTGCAGGTTATTCCCTCTGATCTCTCCCTAAAACCTCATTCCCCAGCCTCTCCTCAGGCGTCTTCAACCCTTCTTCCCTTGTCCTTGCTGGAGCCCAGGGTAAGTGGCTGCAAATAAAAATTTATGTTTTGGCCCTTTAAATGGCTCTTTGCATCTCCAGCCACCCATCTCTGGCAGAGAACAACCCTGCTGTTTTCACAGCTGGCTGTTATCTCTGTACTTTTTGGCCTCTGGTGCTGTAGGCTAGAGATCTCTGCTTATAGTTTAGACCCCAGGAGGATCCAACTGGCCATTGTATTATCCCTCTGATGCTGCAGCCTGTGGGCACCCAGCTTACCTTCTTGAGTGTCTACTGCACTCCTTACTGGTCAGGTTGTGCTAAAATTTATTGTCCCATGTGTCTAAGGTTATAAGGCTCTTCTCTAAGTATTCAGTTTTTTGTTCCAAGTGATTTCTCCACAATTTAATTGTAATTCCAGAATAGTCCTGGAAGGAGGTCAGGTTGACTTCCATTCATTCCTCCAGCATCTTGCCTTCCCCTGAATAGCATTCTTGAACCTTTAGGCTTTCCTTCCATCTTTCCCCTTTCTCTCATCTTTTAGTAAATAAAGTAAATACCCATGACCCTCCAATAAGGTGGGAACTCAGGGCACCAACCCCTATGCAGTAGAAAATCCATGTACAACTTTTTTCCAATTTTTGTTTTATTGTTCAGATACAGTTGTCCCCATTTTCCCCCATTACTGTCCCTTTCCCTACACATCCCCCACCTTCCTCTTTCAATCCTGTTCCCTGCCCCCATTGTCTTTGTCCATGGGCCCTTTATAAATGCTCTTTGACTTAATGAGGGAAAGAAGGAGAAGGGCCAAGCTTTCTTTTAATTGTATTTTTCAACTGACATTTAGTCCCATTATACCCTATCCCCCCTTGCAATCACCATATTTTTGTCCATGTCCTTGAGGCCTTTTACCTTTTCTCTTGATTCCTCTATCCCCTAAACTCCCCTGCCCCAATATAACTGTCATCCTGCTCTCTATCTATGAGGCTGTCTCTATTTTGCTTGTTGGTTCAGTTTGTTTATTAGATTTAACATATAAGTTAATTAATGTGGTATTTATCTTTCTCTGGCTGGCTTATTTCACTTAGCATAAAGTTATCCATGTCCATTCATGCTTTCCTGAAGGGTAAAATACTTTCTCTCTTTTTTTTTATGGCTGAGTAGTACTCCCTTGTATAAATGTCCCATAGCTGTTTTATCCACTTGTTTATTGATAGACACTTGTACTGCTTCCATATCTTGGCAGTTTTAAATAATGCTGCAATGAACACAGGGGTACCTATGTTCTTTTGAACTGAATCAGTATTTTGGGTTTCTTTTTGTAAATTCTCAGAAGTGGGATTGCCAGGTCAAAAAGCAGATCCATTTTTTCATTTTTTGAAGATGTTAAAGATCTGTACTCAGAAAAGTATGAGACACTGAAAAAAGAAATTGAAGAAGATACAAAGAAGTGGAAACACATACCATGTTCATGGATTGGAAGAATTAACATCATTAAAATGTACATACTACCCAAAAAAATCTATAGATTCAACACAATTCCTATAAAAATTCCAATGATGTATTTCACAGAAGTAGAACAAATATTTCAAAAATTAATATGGAATCACAGAACGCCCCACATAGCAAAAGCAATCCTAAGAAAGAAGAACAAAGTTGGAGGAATCATGCTACCTAATATGAAACTATAGTTTAAGGCCATAGTAATCAAATCAGCATGGTATTGGGATAAAAACAGACACATAGATCAATGGGATTTAATAAAGAGACCAGAGATAAACCCACAATTTTATAGTCAAATAATATTCAACAGAGGAAGCAAGCACATACAATGTGGCTAAAGATAGCTTATGCAAGAGATAGTATTGGGAAATTGAAACTATGACCTCTGTCTTAACACAGAAATTTTTAGAACTATTTATTTATCTTTTGAAATGTCTTTGAAAATGAGGTTCAGAATGATGTCTTCCAGTGGCCTTTAATTACATCAAATAATGCATTTTATCACAAAAATTATATCAAATAATGCATTATTTTTAATTATAGTCTTTGTCCCTAAGGATGCACTAATCTTTTTTACAATCAGAAAAAGTGTGACAGCATTGTAAATAAAGCCTATCAAAACACAAAGCAGAGTTCTCACCAACTGAACCAGTCCTATTTAATGGAACTCCACATGCTAAAATCAAGGGACTAGTTCAGACAGACCTTCTAAGTGTTGCAGCTGAGGTCTATCTTAATATTTCAAACATAAAAGGGAGAGGTTATCCACACTGAGGTTCATCAAAGAAGGAGTTGGTCACTGAGAAGCTTTTCAGAACAATTCCTTGAATTATGAGGGCAGTTCTCAAACTCAGGTCTTTGGGGAATTTGACAAATCATTGAAGAGTGAAAGCAGCTCATCTTCTTCCATACCCTGCTGGTCAAGGTTAATGTTTCTGGGAACAATGAAGGCAAAGTTCAGTGTGGCTCCTTTAGGAGAATCTTGCTAAGGGCTGTTTAAGTGAGAGCATAGATGCCTCTTAGGGAATAAATGATTCCATGCTTACAAGTCAGTGACAGTTGAAGTTAAGGGACCCACCCTCTGTGCTGACGTGTCCCTGAAAAGAGATATTGTGCTCTCTCTCAGCTTGAGGGTGATAGAAAACAAAGAGGTATTTATTGGACTTAACCCAAGGGAACCTAGCTCTTATTCTTCTAGGCCATGCCTTTAGGTCCTGCCAAGGTCAGTCACATGCACAAGGGGTCTTGCATGACAAGCACCAGAGAATAGCAGAGAATAAATTCCTTTCCAGTCCTCCAATGTTCCTAAATACAGTATGTTCTCATGTTCCCAAATATACCATGAGACTTTATTGAACACCGTTTTGTTTGGAACACTGAAGGTCGAAAGGACAATAAGACAGACAACAGCCCTGGCTCATGGAGTTTATATTCCTGTGGGGTAGATTTAGGGTAACCAAGCAGATGGAACCGATATTATTTTAGATTGCGAGAAGGGCAGCAAAAGCATTCTGCAAGACTAAGTGAGGAGCTTGGACTTTGTTCAAAAGTCAAAGTGTGGAAGAAGCCCCTGGGATCTCTTAGAATGGATGTGACATGATGTCCTTATGTTTAGAAAGATCTCTGGGTACCAGATCCATGTACCATAGAATGCCACCGGTTCACAAAATAGAAACTAAATTTTCATCTTTATGCAGATCCCAATATACATCTTTTCTCCTCATATGTAATGCCCTAAATGAACTCCCTTGATTATCCCTGTGGGGACATTTAAAAAAAAATAATGATTTTAGAAAAATAATATTCTAAGTGATCCTATGAGATTTTTCATCTTCTCTCATGAGACTTATTCGAGGGTAGTAGGAACAGCTTGCATAAGTCAAATTTGTGTCATGAGCCATTTCTCAGGTCATTATTATAATTCCTTAAGCAAAAGATGATTTTTCTTTTTTACACAAAGACAATTATTTAAGACCTTTATTAACAGGTGCTTGCAGTTTGTTGACTTTTTTGAAAAAAATCAAGTTGTAAACTTTTATTACAAATTAAAAATGAGGTTCTTAAAAATTTCAACTTGACCAGATATGAAACAATTTAAAAACCTTTAAAGGTGTATTGAGAAAAACCAGGCTTATTTAAAAAAAAAAAAAAACACGTTTGTCATTACCAAAAAGAGACGTCTTTAGATAAAAATAATAAAAACCCCATGCTGCATAGATAATGCAGATAGTTCTAGTCATCTGGTCAACGGGCAAAAAGCAAGCACTTAAGGTCTTCAGCTCCCATCTTTTGTTCATTTCTTATTGCTGGAATTTCATATTCATTTCTTCTTGTTGGATGACTAAGCCGGATGATGGTAGAGATGGTAAGGCGGCATTTACTCAGCCCCGCCCTGCTCAGCCTCGGGAGCGGACGAATTCTCAGCTGGTGGATCGGCTGCTTTTGTCTCTTTGCCATCTTGTGGTTTAGGGTTTTCTGGGCGTCTGCGTCGGTAATTGAAGTTGCGGCGGTACCCACGTTGAGGTGGCTGCTGACCTTGGGTCTCATCTCCTTGATTTTCCTTATCTTCTTCATTGCTGTCCTCTCTAGGCTGTCTTGGGTGAGGAGGGCCCCTGCGAAATCGTGGTCTGTAGCCCCGATACATAGTCTGTCTCACTGGTCTACCTTGTTCTCCCGCACCCTGGTTGTCAGCTCCCTTCGTCACTTCTCCCTGCACAGGAGGGTTGGAATATTGTGGTCGACGCCCATAGGGTCTCCGCAGGTAGTAAGGGGGAACCGTGGCCTGCGGTAGGGCCGGCGCTTTTGGGCCCGGCCTTCAGGAGCACTCTCCGATCCCTCATTCTTTTCCCCACTCTCACTATTCTGGTAATTCTGCTGGTAAGTGCGTGGAGGACCCCTGCGACGTGGACAGCGTCTATAATGGTTACGGTCCGCTGCATATTCACTGCTTTGCACTGGAACTCCACCAGGGCCTGTGACATTTGCTGCCTCCGCACCCTTTTCTCCTTCAACAACATCAGACTCCACCGTCTCTCCGTCTCCTACACTGAGAAGGTACTTCCTGGGGTTATTCTTCTTTTTGACAGTCTGGTGTCCAAATACATCTTCCTTGGTGTCATTCCTGTTGATGAAACCATATCCGTTTCTTACATTGAACCATTTTACTGTTCCCAAAACCTTTGTTGCGATGACCTTCTTGTCCCCGCCGGCAGGCGCCACCGATGTGAGGCCGCCCCGGCCGCCGCTCCCTGCGCCGCTGCCCGTGGTGCCGGGCTTGGTGTCGGCGGCCCTGAGGGTGGGGGCGGCGCGGGGGGCGGCAGACGGCTGCTGGGTCTCGGCCTCGCTGCTGGTTGCGGTGATGGTGACTGGGGCCGGCTGCGGCAGCTGCGGGTCCTCCCGGGGTGTGATGGTAACTAGGCCGGCGGCAGCGGTGGGACTGCTCAGGGCTCTCTGGGGTCCACTCTCCGCTCCCGCTACCGATCGAACTCGCAAAAGATGATTTTAAAAATACTGTCAGAAATAGACACTGGAGCTCATAGTTTGAGAAGCTGATGAAGCTTGCATATATTGTAGCCTTGTGTCCTGTAAAAATGTTGCTCATTCATAGCTGCTTTGCAGAACAGAGAAAAGACAACTTGAAAGGAAAACTTCATGTTTCATAATTTTGAAAAAAATGCAATTTATTTATAAAAAAATGTGTATTTATTCTTACATGGTTAAACTTCAGTCACCTTCAAAGTATTGTACTCTCCATTTGATGCAGTACACTTACTGAGAAAATTTTTCTACTGTTTTTGAACTCTATTTTCATGCCTTCTAGTGCTTCTGCCTTTTTTTTTTTTTTTTTTCACCTCTTCCACATAGGCAAAACATGTCCCTTTGAGGACTTCTTTCATTGAGGGAAACAAACAAACCAAGAAAAGTCACTCCAGGTGAGATCAGGTGAAGAAGGACAGTAGGACACAGAGATCATGCCATTTTTGGTTAAAAACTGCTGAATACTCAGCGTGGTATAGGCAGGTGCGCTCGTGAATCACACGCCATGAAATGGGCAAACAGATTAAAAGGATCTTCAAAAAAAATTCACTGAAGCCAAAGACAGCCTCTCAAAACAACACTAGCTGGTACACTGATACAGATGGGTTCCTAGAACACTCACTCAGCAGGGGAAGTCTGTGCTACAAAGAGCCCACCCTCCCAGAAGATAATTCTGTGGGGTGACCTTGATGTTTGGGTCCCTCCTTGAAAGTGAAAGTGAAAGTAACTGAATATAGAATTTATAAGAGATCATTTACTATGGTATGCATGATGTCAAGTGAAATAAAAGAATGGGTATGAAGAGATCACAATGATAAGAACTACAGAAGTTCCCTTTTCTCTTTTCACATTATGAGTAATCCTAGAGATCATGCCAGAAAAGCAGTGTTAGGTTGAATAACAAAGTAAGGGGTAAGGCAGGACCACAGGAAGTGGTGGGATGGCCAAGAAGTTCCGTTGTGAGCCAGTGAGCTTCCAATTTACAGGTCCCAATTATGTCCTCAATGATGGTGCCTAAATGTTGAAGAGTGCAGGTAAGAGTCCCTCCTTATCTGTGGTTTCACTTTCCATGGTTACTTATAGCCAACTGCATTCTTAAAATATGAAATGGAAAATTCCAGATATTTTGAAAGAGAAGGGAGACCACATTCACCTTTTTATAGTACATTTTTATAACTGTTCTGTTTTATCATTGTTGTTAATCTCTTACTGTGCCTAATTTATAAATTAAGCTTTATCAGCGGTATGTATGTATATATAGGAAAATAATAAAGTACAAACATACAGGGTTGGTACTATCTGCAGTTTCAAGCATCCATGGGGGGTCCTGGAATGTATCCACCTTGGATAAGGAATGATGACTGTAACTGTACCATAAGAACAACCAACTTTTGTATGTTCCCAAGGGACTTCTTGTGTCCCACCCGAATTCTGCAATGAAGGCTTTAAATGGGAGACTGGTGCTTCCACTTGAGATGGAAGGCAAAACGTTAATTATGGCAGGTCTATTGGGTGTGGCCACCCAGGAGGCACTGAGCTCTGCACTCTGAAACAAGCTTTCTGACCATGCTGGTCCTCCACTTTGACTACCTTCTTTTGAAGTTTGAAACACTTATGCACCAGGGCTGGAGTCTCTGAAGGAGAGGGGTTAGGGTAGTTCCATCCAGGTATGGAAGAGGGTATGGACGAGGGAAGTAAGGCAGACCTTGGCTTTGGCACTGTCTCTACCCCTTGCTTGAGTTCTCCCAGAGTCATTTGTCCTTTGCTATACAATGAGAAAGATTACATATATATCCTGAAGGGAGTTTTGAGGATTCAAGTTATTTTATGTGGAATCCAGAGGTTGCAGGGCTCCTAAGGACAGCCAAGACTCCCATCCCATGCCCACCCATGGCCACATGCAGTATCATTGCTCCCTCTTCAAGCACATATTTGTCCAAACCACAGTAGTGAGCAATACTGAATTTACTATTACTAAAGCTTGCATAATGCAACCAGAATGTATTTTGCATACCTTTTGGCAGTATATCATACAAATTCAAATTAATCCTCTTTTACCAACTACTTCCTCAATACACTAAAGTCACTGTCCATTTACAAACCAACCAATTCATCCTGTTTATTCTTCTCCCTTCTTAATTTCATCGACATATTTTTTTATTGTGAAAGTTAAATAAGATAACACATCTAAATGCTAAGTAGTGACTTATGCATAGTAATTGCTCAGTAAATGAACAATAGCCATAGCAGCAGCAACAACAATAACAATTTCCTATTGTTTCAAGATTTCTGTCTCATGGGGCCAGATTTATATGCTAGTATGAGCCTAATCTATATGACCCAAAGTAAAATATTACTGTGCTTTCATGCTTACAATCAGTGAGTTCCTCAATTCTTTCTCCCATGTCATTAAGGAATTTGTAAAGCATTTCTCTCCTGTTTTTGTGCCAGAGATTACAACTGTCAGTATAAAGGTACTGTTAATATAAGACACGGCATAATTTTCTCAAGTTCATGAATGTATGTTGATAATTCTCAGAGTTTGGCTCCACCCCAAAAGCTGACTCAGAGGCAAAGGTTTGGGTACAAGTATTTAACTTGGGAGATGACTTCAGGAAAAGGAACAAGGAAGACAGGCAGGACAAAAAAAGCCAAGAAAGAGTGCGTTATTGAGCAATTTGCCACTGTGGACAACTGGAGAGTAATCCCAATGGTCAACTCTGGACAACTTAGTAAAATACTCACCTCAGCACTACCTCACCCAAGGGGTGAGTGAGCTGGGACATTTATCCACCATTTCTCATTAACCCTGGGTTGAAGAATACAAATGGTAGCCTTGATTCCCTGACATTCTGGACTTCACCAGAGTGAGCTCTGGATGCCAGAGAGAGCCCTCAGTTAAAAAGACCTCAAGTGCTAGAAGCTGTAAGTCAAGCCAGTAAACAAGGATGGTGCATGCCAAGGGAGTACATGCAGGGCATGGCCAGCATCTGCTGTGGTTATTCCCTTATTAATATGCCATATTGTGTGTGTGTGTGTATGTGTGTGTGTGTGTGTATAAAACAAAACCTGCCTTGTCCTTTTAAACAACAGCTAAAACTCCACCATCTTAATGACAGGCTGTAGGCACCTCCCTCTTAACTCACTGTGGTACTTCTTGCTCTCTGACAGAAGCCAACAATGCCCTTCTTAGCATCCTGTGGCCATGCTCACTGTGGTAATGGGCCAGTGCCACTCTCATTACTTCACCTGTTTTATCTTCTGTGAAACTCAGCCTTTAGCCAGGGCTGTCTGAGTGGCTGCTCTAGCAAGTGCTTAATGGTGACATTCCTTCAGATCATTTCTCTCAAGTAATTTGACTTCATCATGCTATCAGAATTGCTTTTATGGGTTGGAAGTTGGAAAGGCCTGGAGGGGAAGGGGTTGGCAAAACTGTTTTGAAATTTAAAAATAAATAAATATATGCCCTATACTTCCTCGTGTCCACCAGAGAGCCTCAGGATTGGTGAGGAGTGGTCTGAGGAAAACACAACTCATCTCACACTATATTCTATTTTACCTTAGCTTGTAAAGTGTGCTGTTTCATGTCCCTTTGGTCCCCTCGCCAGAACTTTTGAGCTAAGATAGAAAAATATTATCCTATAGCTATAGTCTAAAAAGATTAAGGAAAGTGTACCTTTGCATTGATGGTCAATGTTGATAATCCCAGTTCAGCTGATGTTAGTTTTTCAATAAATCCAGTAGTATGTCCCTTTAGGACAGTCAGAGCTTTTCATTAATGCTGAAAACCCCAAATTTAGTAATGACACAATATTTTTATTTTACTTAATTCTGTGTGTAAATAGAAAAAAAAAAGAACAGCAGCATGTTTCCATATTAAAGACTTGATGGGGAGGGAGGACTCCAAAGAGGACATGAATTTAATGTACAGAGTTTAAGGGAGTTTAACTTTAAAAAAAGATATTGCTTCTAACTCCTGGATATTTATAGCAATTCAGTAATAATTTGGTGCTTATAAGCAAGTGAAGGTTGGTTAGTATGGCAACGATTTGCAGTGTATGTGGGGATTTAGGGTTCCATAAAATGGCTAATATTTTATCATAACATTAAGCCAAGAACTCTGAGGGATGGGATGAGAGTATGCACTAAACGCCCTTTGAGGTAAAAACCACTACAGAAGAAATTGTGAATCTGAAAATAAACTGATTAAGTGCACATATACTAGTTTCTACATTTGTGAGATTTCCCTGATCATTGGTCTCTCGATTGCTTTTTTTGTTTTTTCTTACAACTATTAGAAAGATATCCATAGTTAAAGCAGAGGTGACTCATGGTAACTGGGCTGAAAGAAGATGTTGTGGGAAAAAACAAGAGAGAGAGGCCGTGGGTAGACAGTAACGAATAGGTGGAGTTAACATTTTAAACCATGGCTTAATTATACCTGGTATTATATTAATTATGACGTTTTAATAGTATGACTTTCTTTGAAATAATTGATTTAATTCACTACCATATGCTTCTTTATGATATGGTAATCTACAGCTACAAGAAGACCCTCATTGTAAGTTTAAAACAAAAGTTGACCCACTGTTTCTGCCTCCAACAGGGCAGTTTTACTGGCAGTGTTTGTTATATCTTTATTTTAGTAGGCTAGGTTAGATTTTTAGTAGAACATGTTTGAACTTTTTATCAGGAGAACAAAATTATTTTCCAAATGGGAACCTAAGTACTAAGTTAAAGATATGGGGGAATTATCAACAACTGCAAAAGAAAAAAAAATAAAGCTAGAGCGGAAAATTGTTTGTGGCAAGGTCCATACACCAGATTTACTCTTAATTGTGCTGAAAACACTTTCGAGAATTCCAACAAATAGTTCAGTGGCTGGGTAGAATCTTCAGTGAGTCTCCAGTGCTGTATCTTTCTGCAATTTGAAAAGGAAATATCTGATCAATAACTGAGCTCAAGGAAAATGTATAATGAGTTATTTGATGTACCATGGATAAAAACCATTGCAAATTCAACTTGCTGTTTCAGTTTTTCCTCTTTTGTTTAAATTGTCTGTATGTTCTGTTGAAAAACAATTTGTTTTCTCTGGGGTAGGTACTCACCGATGTGTAGGGAGAAAACAAGCAAGTCATGAAATGAATCTGAGCTTCTAGCTGTAAAAAGTGTTAATTATCTAATCATGGACAAAACCAAAGGGGAAGAGTTGAGGGAGGGAGGGGGCAAGGGAAAGTGATGGCGGGGGGGTGGGCAGAGACAAATGTATTTGAAAAAATAAATAAAGAAATTTTTTAAAAAGTGTTAATTATCCTAAACCTATCATAATGGCTTTAAATGTGGTCAAGAAAATAGATTAGTAGGTACATCCTGATGTGTTAACTAAACCAAATAGATAGATACATTATTTTAAACTTTCATATATGTTTGGTGGGAGTTTAAACTGTAAAGCTGCTTGGAAAACCTTGGCAGAATTTAAAAGCATTAAATATCTACATAGCCTATGGTCCAGTAGCTCCTGTTCCTGGTTATAATCTCAACAGAAACAAGTTCTTATGTTTATTAAATGACATGTATGAGAATGTTCACGGCAGCTTTATTCATAATAGCTTCAAACTAGAATTGACCCAATTATTTGTAATACCAGAATGGATAAATAAACTGGAATATTCATACGATGGAATACAACACTGCAATGAAAATGAAAGTGCTCTTGTTATAAGTAACAACACGGATAAATCAGGCTGGCAAAATGTTGAAAAAAATATAGACAAAAAATGTGCACATTGTATCTCCCTGAATAAGAAGTATAAAAACAGACAAAATTAACCTGTGATAATAAAGGAGAGAATAACATTTCCTTCAGAAGGTAGATATTGACTTGAGACAAGGAAGTTTTCTGGGACATTGAAAATGTTTTTAATCTGATTTTGGTAATGGTTACATGTATGTACGTATATATATATGTGTGTGTATATGTAAAAATTTAACAATTACAATACAAAAGTAAAGAAGAGAAATCATGTTTACATTGTATAAGTCGACTTCAATACTTACAACAAATTTAATTTTAATAATCTATCCTAATCAATATGGAACTAAGCTTGGAATGCTAGTAGAAGCACAGATTCTACGAACATCTGGGTATACCCTTCCCAAAAAAACTCTCTGCACTCCTGGCCCTAAATTATTAGAGGTTTCTGTAGCCTCATTGACTCTCATACTCGGAAGAGATTTTTTATGTCATCTAATTCAATACTTCATTTGAAGCATGTCTACTGCCTTCCCTCTGGGTGGCCATTAGGCTTTTGTTAACAAAAGTCCCTTGGAAAACAGAATGCAGTTGTGACCTGAGACCAGCCTTACTGTCATCAAGAGCCCATCCTTTGGCAAAAATGTGTCCTTGTCTATCGATTGGTTTTACATATAACATTGGTGTCTTGCAGTTAAGCAGACAAAGGATTGTGCTGTTGCTGTTTACTCTGAACATCATAGTTTATGTTATATATATATGTATATGCCCACTGAGCACAGGTATACGAGGGAGGACCCCAAAACACAAAAACTATCTTATGGAGGGCAGGGCCCTTGTAGTATAGGCTTCCCCTGCCAGGTGAGTGTTCCAGCAATCATCTGTATCAGTGTACCAGCTGGCATTGTTGTGAGAGGCTGCATTTGGCTTCAGTGAATGTTTTTTGGAAGACTCTTTCAACACATTTGCCCATTTCGTGATGGGTGCACACCTGCCCACACAGCAGCTGAGTGTTTAACAGTTTATTTATTTATTTATTTATTTATTTTAATTTATTTTTTCAAATACATTTGTCTCTGCCTCCCCCCCACCACTTTCCCTTGCTCCCTCCCTCCTTCCCTCCCTCAGCTCTTCACCTTCAGTTTTGTCCATGAGTCCTTGCTATATGTTCTTTGACTTTCCCCTTCCCTTCCTTTTCCCCGCCCCCCCCCTCCTTCCCTCTTGTCTCTGTTGGTTTCTTTCCCTTTCAGTGTTGCTGGTCTTATTTTCCTTGCATCTTTGTATTGTTGGTTAGGTTCCACTTATAGGTGAGAAATACAGTGTGTTCAACAGTTTTTGATCAAAAAACTGTCTGGCCCCTGTGCCCCATCCTCCCTATCCACCCCAATTCACCCCAAGCAACTTATTTTTGTTTTCCCAGATGAAAAGAGTGCTCAAAGGAAAACTTTTGCCTACGTAGAAGAGGTGAAAAAAAAAAAACACCCTGCAGAAGCAATAAAATGCATCAAAATTGATGAGTTCACAAATTGTTCCTAACAGTGGAAAAAATGTCTCAATAAGTTTATTGCATCAAATGGAAAGTACTATGAAGGTGGCTGAGGTTTAAACATTTAAAAATAGAAGGCAGAGACAAATGTATTTGAAAAAATAAATAAATTAATTAAAAAATAAAACACATTTCTTAGGGAAAAAAAGAATAAATATACTTTTTTTATAAATAAATTTGGCTTTTTGCCCCCCTCATATTTTCAGAAATATGTCTTGATATTTCTCTCTTCTTTTAATTAATTAGAGCATATCTTTTGATTAGGAACTATTTTTATCTTATACATCTTCTCAATAGTTTTTTTTTTTCCCCAGGGATAAAACAGGATAATGCAGATATGTCATTTCTGTTTGGACATCTTCGCAGAATCCCTTCACTCTCCCCAAACTCTAGGGCTAAACAAACATTTTCCCAGCAGTCATCTTTTTTCTGTTATCAATGCAAAAATTTATGAAATCTACAATCCATTAAGTCATTTAACATATATTTGTCTATCATCTTCTGTGTGCCAGCAATGTTTTATGGATACAAAGATACACAAAAACAGGTATGGTATCTGCTCCTTAGGGCTTTCACTTCTATTAATATGATTAATTAAATATTTACATACATAAATGTAAAATTGCAACTGTGATGAGTTTCCGTGAGAGAAAGCACAACATAGGGAGTCATCAGTGTCAGAGAAGCCTTCCCTGGAGAAGGACTGAGCAGAGGACTAATAAAAGTTACAAGAAGCTAGGAAAAGAGGACAGGAATGTCATTTCAGGAAGGAGAAACAATGAGAAAGGCCTTTTGTCAAGAGGGCCAAAGGAAACATGCCATATTTAAAGGACAGAAAAAAAAAGCAGTGGAACTGGAGTTGTAAAATCAGAGAGCGATACAGAATGGAGTGAGCCTAGAGAGATAAGAAAGAGACACATTCAGGGAAGAAATGTTAGCATTAATTTTGGGAGTGTTTTGAGGCTTCAAATGCTTGTAAAGGGCATTTCTTGGAGAGTAGCTGAACAAAGAAATGAAAGAGAGAACAGGTTTAGAGAGAGGACTGCTTTAATTAGTAATTTTTGAATGGAAATAGTTATTGTTGAAAATAACCAGGTCAAGGACCTGGCAGGCCAGGTGTTTGGTAGGTCATTTCCTGGAGGCTGAAATCATTCAGGGGTTATGGCGAGCCTTGAGGTGGAGAAAACCATAACTGAGTGCCAGAGGCTTTGATGAATGTGGGGAAATGACCAAGAGGTCACAAATAATTGAGAACTGACCATTGTTGCCATGGTTCTGTAAGAACTTATATAATTTCCCTGTGGGGAGTTACATCTTCTAAAGGTTAATATTAATGGCCATCACAACTGAGTGTGATTACAGAATTTATTAGTTTTATGTAGCCCTATAATTTTATGATTTAAGTACTTCTTAAATATATCAAAAAGTTGGAAAAGAATTTTCCAGGGAAGAGAACAAACAAATAAAACTAAAGAGTAAATCTAGAAAGGCCCCTTGGGGAATAGAATGCCAAGCCTGGGGAATAGAATGCCAAGCCAAAAGAAAGTTTATTCTGTAGGAGCTGGAACGTCAGCGAAGGCTGTCATTGTTTGATGTAAGCTTGCAGTAACTATACTTCAGTAAAAATCACCTGCCGTTGGTGTGCTAGATAGATTATAGAAAAGGAGATGACCAAAGGAGCATAGTTATGAATAGACTGCAGTTGTTAGGATGGGGCAGATCAGATCTTGAATGAGATCAATCAGAAAAAAAGGTAAGGAAGGGGTGGTGTAAAATATGCAGAGGGACTCAGTCACTAGCTACCAGAAAGGAAAATAGTCATAATACTGTAGTGACTAGTAGAGAATTAAAGCCAAATGCAGAAACTAGAAAGTTAAGAAGTGGTTTGTTTTGCAGAAGAATGCATTTTACATTTCTGGTTCTGTAGCACATCTAGGGGAGGTATTCAGGTGATTACAAATGTAGGTGTTAAACTCGGGGGAAAGGTGAATTGAACAAGCCTCAAGTGCTTAACTGCAAACCACAAATACCCATTCTCTTCTCCTTGTTTTTCTTCACCACCCACAGGTACTCCGGCTGCTTTCTTCCCACTTCACTTTCCTTTATCTTTTCTGTTAATTCCTTGCTTCTCGTAAGCTTACTTCTGAGGACAATGTACTTCAATCCCCACTTTATAGTTCCCTTCCCAAAACATTCTTTCGTTTCCTAGAAAACTTTCCGGTCCTTCCCTAGACCTCTCATCTGGGTCCCCACATCTCTAATGCACTTGGCATGCTTTATTGCTGTTACCTCTTGTCAATTTCCTACTCCAGGCTTTGGGCATTAGAGGACAGGGACTCTTTAAATGTCTATATATCTACACTCTCCTGGTTCAATAATTTGTTTAATGAATTAGCTAATTGATTAATTAATTAACACATTTTCCAAATTTGAAGGGTTTTATGTTTTTAAGCCTTCATTTAGGAAAAATAAAAAGGATGGAGGAATTTAAAACAAATCTACAATCACAAATGTCATAGATGAATTTACAAAGTTTCAAGTACTTTTGTATATTTTTTCACATGACAGCAGTTCTCTCTGTTATATAATAGTGCTTGAGTGAAGCTTTGACACATGGATGAATCTCACAGACATTATAATCAGTGAAAAAAGGAAGACATAAAAAGTATATACCATGCTATTCCATTTAAATGAAATTAGAAAACATAAAACTAATCAAAAATGATAATGTCAAAATCAGATTTACTTCTGAGGCATAGGGTATTGACTGGGAAGGGGCAAATTAGAACTTTCTGTAGTGCTAGAGTGTTCTTTATGTTGATCTAGATTTTGGTTAAATAAGTATACAGCTATACTTATATAATGTATTAAAAGGCGTATTTAAGATTAGTGTACTTTATATATGTATATATAATTCATGAATAAAGAATATCATAAGAAGTCTATTAAAAAAAAGAAAAGCTATGGAATTTTGATTAGGAAGCCAGTGAGGATCTTAAAGAGAGTAGTTTCAATAGAATAGTCAATCCCATTTCTTCTTTCTGCTTCATGAATTATAACATATAAGGTTATTCATTCATATACTTTTATACCTGTTGGCAGAATGTCTGATGATTCTGCAAGTTCAGGAATGTGTTCAGTTTATGTAAGCTAAATGGACACTGTGGATGAGTTTTTTAAATTCTAACATGTGCCCATGCTCACTGGGACATAGTGTAAGTGTGTCAGTTTTCCTACCCTTCTAAAATCAAAGCCATATTACAAGATCTGGTCAGTTCATGTTGTCTTAATCTCAAACATCATTTCCAATAGCCCTAAGTAAAGCAGGCATTACCTTCTTTGAACTCTGATAATAGCTTTCAATGGTGTGGCTCTTTGGCCAGTTGTTAGTCCTGTCTTGTGTCAGTTCATTGATAGAGTACTGTTGACTTTGTGGCCTTGGGTCAACCATGTATATTCTCTGAGCCCTATTTATTCAGTTTGTAAACTGAGAGCAATAAACCTTAGTTTGATCACTTCTTATGAGAAAATTATATGAAATTGTTTTGAAAACAATGAAGCAAATGCAAATATATGTTTAATTGATATTGTTGTAGAATTGAAAAGACAAACACTTTAATGCTTTTAGCTTTAGATTGGTGTACAACTAGCCTCAATGCCTTGTTTGTAGGATCACAGTCTTCACATCTGTGTGCACTTTACTAAAACCTGCCTTCCACAGCACTAATTGGTTGAATTGAATACTATTTAAATGAGAAAAGTCCATTATCATACTATGAATGACTTCTGTATTGCCTTCAGTTTTTCTTGTTTAAAATTTGTTGTATTCTGATCTTCACTTAGGTTTCCCGAATGAGCCTGCTGCAGTGATTGCCCTCAGCACCGCTAAGGAATGGCTAGCCAAGAATCACCATGAGGTAGGGAAAACAACACAATCGCTGAACATTCAAGATGGTGTAATTTCAGCATTAATTTGAAAAAAGCAGATAAATCTATTTTAAAAATATCAAGTAGATCTAGTTATTGGGCCAAAGCTAGCTGACCATGCATGCTTCATGAAAGTCACATGGGCGGTTATTTTCTTATAACTAATTTACTGAAAGGGTTATATTAATTGGCTTTGGTGGTGAAGATGGACAAAGTAACTGGATTCATTTAGCCATGATCTCATTTTTTACATATTTAAATAGTATACGTTTTGTTTGTAAGAGAGAGAACAGGATGGATTTCATTAAGATGAAAAATAAGGGATTGTCCTGTGCTAGTTTCCTTAAAGAGTTAAATTGCCTTGGTTGACAGGTGATTCCTGGTGTAATAAATTTTTGGCATCCTGAGTTTTCTTTATTTATAATTAATCACTTCCAAAAAGTGACTTCTCAGGGTGAGATTGGTGTGGGCTTGGATAATTGATAGCTAAATAGTCACATAGGATTTTTTATAAAACTAAATGTTTCCATCAGAGTATTCATCATGTATCCTATTTTGGTTATTTAATAAATCTTTGGGATATGTTTAATGATGAATAGGAAAATTACTCAAGTAAACAAAGCAGCACAATAAGTAGAGACACTATGAAGCTTAGATGTCAGAGGTTTGGCAATTAACATATTATAATAGAAAATAGGTTTCATATAATGCACAGTCTTGTGTCTTTTCTTCTGATTTTGATTTTCTCAGGTTTTCATATGAGTGCTATAAAGATTTTTGTTCCATTTATGGTGGGCAATGAATTTAGCCATCTCCTTGGATGGGAGATGGATTATTTGGAAATGATTGAGTTTGGAAATACACTATGGAAATTTCCTAATGAGAGATAACTCTTATGCCTTTGTGTGTTTAAAGAAACAACAGTGTAATTTTCTTCTAATTATAGTAATTTCAGTATTTCTTAAACAGATATAGACATTGTTAAGCTCAAATAGAACTGAAGACCAAATGGCAAAACATGTGCAATTTACTGCTTGCTCTTTATTTTCCTCCCACTTTGAAAGGTATACATATGAGGTCTGTCAGGGAAAAGTCCAACCATTGTTAATATAATGAGAACAATTTGCACAACACTGATGTTCTGCAAACCGTCCTGGCAGCCAAGAAGAGTGGACTGGAATGTCCATGCATGAAAAATGATGACTTCACTACTACTAGTCAGTGGAGGCAGTAGACACTGTTGGGTAACCATGTGCCCTGGGTGACCATGGCATTCAAAATACTGAGTGAGCAGAGCAAAGAATCTGCATGAAATTTTGCATTACACTTGAACATTTCTTCTCAGAAATTGGATGATTCAGAAGGCTGCAACTATGGGCAACTGGTGATCAGCAGCTTCATCACGACAATGCGTCCATTCATACATCCCATCTCCTGCAGAGATTTTTGGCAAAACATCAAATCACCTAGGTGACTCAGCCCCCCTACAGTCCAAATTTGGTGACCTGCTACTTCTGGCTTTTTCCAAAACTAAAATCATCTTTGAAAGGGAAGAGATTTCAAACCGTCAATGAGATTCAGGAAAATACAGTAGGGCAGCTGATGGCAATTGGGAGGACTGTGTGAGGTCCTGAGGTCCCAAGTTACCTACTTTGAAGGGGACTGATGAATCATTGTCCCTTGCACAATGTTTCTTGTATCTTGAACAAATGCCTCTATTTTCCATAGTACCCGGCTGGATACTTTCTGGACAGACTTCATACGACAACTTCAATTTAGAGATTGATTTGAATTACCTCAGAGAAACAGAATAAAGAAGTCTGATACAGCCAGTTTGCAAAACATATCTTTGTCAAGTATTATTTTCATAACAATCTTATGAAACATCTGGGATAGGCATTGTTTCCCTTATCCTCATGTATAATAAAACACATAAATGATGTACTCAGGCCTCCAGGGTCACAGGGCTGAGAGAGCCTAACTCAGCCCTCCCAGCTCCCACAGCCATTCTTCCTTGGAATGCTCCTGAGCAAGAGAAAGAATTTTAATCCCTTTGAAAGCAGGTATCTTCAAAATATCTCTTGCTCATAGTAAAAGCTCCTTATCTAGACCATCTGCTTTGCGAAAATGTGGAGGGTTTCATGAGTAAAAGCTGACTTAGTGTATTGGCGCATATCTTTTTTTCACTAAAATAATAGACTGCTCCCCACCAATGGAAGTTCACATTGTCATCATGGCATGGGATGGAAGTACACATAACCACACAAAACATCAAGGAGGTAATAATGAGGAGCAAACCGGATGCATGCATTTATAGCTCATTGATGAGTTCTACTGAAGAATTTCCTCTAGTTAACTATTCATAGTTACTTTCCATATAAATTTGTTAGCTTAACATTTTCTACTTAATGGCCTTTGCTCTAATTTCCTTGCTAGCCTACTCTGTCTTTGAGTCTTGGGTCTATTCTAAAAAAAAATATAGCTAATTTGAATTAAGAAACATTCAGTTATTGGTATTGTAACATACTCCATGCTAATTCTCTTTTAAAAAGCTTCTTGCTTCAATAACTTAAACAAATTAAGTTTTACTTAATAAGTGATTTAAAAGTGGTAAGACATGGATAATAGCTATACAAATTGATTAGTAATATTTTTATTTGGTTTTTGTTCTGTGATAAAACAAACAAGCTAGGTTAAAGATTTATGAAAGAGCATTACTTCTTAGTCAGTTGTCTATTCATTGCAGTATTATTTTGACATCCTGATTGTTAATTTGATAAATATTTGTTAAATACCACTAAGCACAAGAAGCTATTCTAGATACCAAGTACAGAACACTAAAAAAACTCAATTTTTACCCTATGATGTTCATAGTCTAGGAAAAGTAAAACATAAATTAAACATATGAAGAAATAAGACAGTTCAAAGACTACTTTGCAAAATAAAACAGGTAATTGGATAGTTAGTTATTGGAGGATGTGGTTTTAGATAATATAGAGCCTACTCTGAGGACAAAATCTTGGAACAAAGATTTGTATGATGGGAAGGAGCAAGCCAAGCCACACAGGGATCTTGAGATAGAACAACCACAAAGAGGGAACAACAAGAGAAAAATCCTGAGAGAATGAGTTTACTGTTTGCAAGCAATGGTAAGAAGAGAGACTGTGGTTAGAGCAGTGAGATAAAAGAATGGCAGGAGACAAATTTGGACAAGTAGGTACAGGCCATATCATAGAGTGCTGAGGTTCATTGAGAGACTTTGATTTTATTCTAAGTATAATTGGAAGTTGTTGAGGGTGTCAGCAAAGGATGGCATAATTGAATTTACCTTTAAAATGACAAAAAAATGTCTGGCTGCTGCTTGCAGGATGAGTGGATTCTAGTGATGTTAGAGTAGGAAAGGGAAGACTGATTAAGAGGCTCCTGCAGTAAATCCAAGCAAGAAATGAGGGTACTTTGGAATATAGTGATGGTGGAAGAGGAGGTGACAGCATTATGTTTGGAATATATTTTGACAACAGAGCCAATGTAACTGGCAGTCGTTTTAAGGTAGACTAGCTTATACTAAAGTTACAAACAACCTCCAAATCTCAGGGTCATAGAACAGCAAAGGTTTAATTTTTGGTCACACTATTTGCATATTTTGAGTCAGCAGAAGGTCTGGTTTAGTCAGGTACCCAGGCTGATAGATATTCTACTGTGTGAAACATCTTCTATCAGATGATCAGAAAAGACAGGCAATCAAGTAACAGCTCTTAAATCCTTCTATAAATGAATGGTTCATATAATGTTCCCTCACATGTCATTGTCCAGAGCAAGGCACTAAGGGGACAGGGAAATGCCACTCTCTCATATGTTCAGAATAGAGACAACTGGATATCACTGACAGTAATGGTGGCTATCATAGTGCTAATCAGATGAGGTATATAAGGAAAATAAAAGAATCAGAAATGAGCACTAAGTTTTTGGTATGAGCACCTGGGTTAAGTTTGGTGCATTTACTGAGAAACTTGGTAGAGGGACATGTTTATATTTTAAACAAATAAAGAAAATAAGAATTATGTTGCAGACAGTTAAGTCTCAGATGATTTTAGATATATAAGGAAGATTTCAAATAGATTGTTGGCTATTTGAGCCTGAAAATGAGAAATAAGTCAGCACCAAAGACATGATAAATTGATCAGATTATCATAACTAACTCAGGTTTGGGTCTTAGTTTGAGCTTAGTTGCAAGAAATATACATACTTTCCAAATAACTTTTATAAAGGAAGCTATAGTGCATAAATAAACTATATAAAAAATTCTTGAAGTTCAAGGTCTAGAACTAGAGCAGGGTCTCATGAGTGACTGGAATTACAAATGATACATCCAAGAAGAAGTATGGCAGTTCATTTTCATTCTTCGCTCAACCTCTCTCACTCCCTCTCTCAATTCTCTGTTTTATTATTATTATTTTGTCCATTATCTTTCCTACACATTCATCTGCTTACCATGGCCCCATCATGACTGTGTCTACCCTTTCATGGGCCAATCAGCCCATGAGCTTGGTGGGCAAATTTGCATCGTCTGGGGTCTTCAGCTGGTCAGGTCCTCTGAAATTTTTGAAAATAGGGAGAATACAAGTAATGTGACTCTTTTATCAGCCACCATATTTTCCTCAGTCAGATAGGTGAATAATTCAAAGGTACACATATTCATGACTTTTGACCATAAATATTTGATAATGTTATGTGATTAGTGAGCCTTCATATTTTGCCATTTACTTACTATTTAATTTCTAAACCCTCAGGAAAGAATACTTCTTTTCTTTTCGAACACAATAATTGATCTAATTCTACATAAGTACATTAGTCACCCCCAACGTGTATGGCTAAATATTTTTACCTCCAGAGACCTGACTGGAGCAGTTAGGCCAAGAAAAATCATATTTCTGTCATCCACCATCCACTTGTTTCCTTTGCACAATGTCTGAACTGTGAGGAGGCTATT